CTGTGTGTGCGTCTGTATGTGTATGTGTACATGTGTCTGTGTCCGTGTGTGAGTCTGTATGGCGGAGAAGCAGGACAGAGCGTGTGTGTGTGTGTGTGTGTGTGCGTGTGTCGTGCGTGTGTGGGGGGTGATGGAGGAGGAAAGGAACTCACTTTGTTCTCAAATCCCACGAGGCCCCTCCCACTGGAAGCTGCATGTCCCCTCAGGCAGGGACTCTGTCCTTCTTTGTCCTTGAAACCTGCCACCCCCACCCCCACCCGCCACCGTCTTGTTTCACAGCGACTCTCAGAGGGGCACATGACTTGCTGTGAGGAGCCACGGCTGGGCTCCCTCGTGGCCCCAACACCCGGCCCCAGCAGTGCCCCAGGGCCACCCAGGGGCCGGCCAGAGGCCAGGGGCTGCGGCCACCTCTCCTGGCWCCTGCACCCCCAGAGGACGTGCTCTTGGTCCCCCGCCCAGCCAGGGCCACAGAGCCCAGGGCAGCCCGACTGGCCACTCTCTCGGGRGCCAATGGGGCTCCGCACCCCAGTGGGCAGCACAGGGCCTGCGGGTCGGGAAGAGCTGCCCGGGTGCGGCCGGCTGAGCCTGCCACTGAGGTCCCCAGTGCCGTCCCCAAGGGGTGACGTGCAGTCAAGGGTCGAGCAGAGGCGGCCCGTGGCCGTGTCCATCCAGAGACGGGCACGTGTCACAGTCACTGCCCGTTGGCAGGTGAGGACCCGGAGGCTTGGCACGCGCCMGGGGACAGCCGTGTCCCGGACACCTCCACTGTCCACGCTGCGTGTCAACAGCCGGTCCCTCCAGGGATGAGGGTGGGCGCCTGACTCAGGAGACAGCCGGGCGGGTCACCGTGGGCCAGGGCCGAGGCCTCTGCTCATCASCTGCCAAGGCCCCAGGGGTCGGACCCTCACCAAGGGAGAGGGGCTGGGGGGCGGGAAGGCAGCCACTGCCCAGCTGGGGGGGGGCTGCGGGCTGGGCACTGCCCTCCGTGGGAGGAGCCCTCTGAGCTGGCGAGGGCCACCCGAGGCCCCAGGTGGCCTCTGGCATTCGCCCACCAGGAGAGAAGGGGGGAAGCGGGGAGAAGCCGGGGGACCGCCGGGGGGGTCTCGGGGACTTTGGGTGGAGAATCTGTCAGGAGCCGGGTGTGCCACGGCCGGGCCACCGTGGGGGACAGCGGCGGTTCACCGTGGGGATCAGCAGTCCCTGCGCCAGGCAGTCCCCAAAAGGACTGAAAGCAGGAGCCAAAGGGGCACCCGCAGGTGACAGTGTCGGTCACAGGAGCCCGAAGGCGCGTGTCCACCCCCAGGAAGGAGGAGCGAGCTGGACCACCCACAGCCAACGCCACTCGGCCCGGGGAGGAGGGACTCTGCCTCCGGCCACGGGGAGGAACCTCGAGACCCGTGTGAGCAGAGYGGCCTCGTCCTTGTCCTCGTCCTCGGGGGCCTGCTGTGGGGCGGAGAGCGCTGGGAGCCGGGCAGGGCGGCCGACAGGGTCCAGGGGGATGGTTTTTTGGAGACGAGCAGCTGTGGAGGGGGCCGTGGGGCTGGTGGCATGACACTGTCACCGTGCTTAATGCCCAGACTGTGGCCTAGCTCAGCTTGAGCCCTGTGGCACCGACTGTGAATGCCATCGTCACCCTGTGCCATGTCACCAGAAGTGGCTGGAGGAGGGCACCAGAGCGGTCAGTAAATGTGGCTGGACGTGGAGTGGCCCCAGGGTGGCCAGGAAAGGGCAGCCTGGGCAGAGTGGCCCTGTGCAGCGGGCCCAGGCAAGGGCAGTGCTGGGCGAGGTCAGGCCCCCTCCCGGCTGTCCCCGGTGCCTGGTGACACACGGAGCTWAGCTGTCCCAGGCCCCTGAGTCCCAGCCCTGGACAGCCAGCAGGACCCTGCCCAGGGTCAGGCTGCCCTGTGACCAGGGCACTCCAGCTGTGCAGAGCAGGCCRTGTGACCCTGCCGGTCTCGAGGCCTCCCGCCTCCCGGGGGTCGGAGGCCAGCACCGCCGTGGAGGGCCACCCTGCCTCCGCAGCGCCCCAGGACACGAGGGCTCAGCCCGGAGCTGGCCCTGTCTCCTGCAGCCTGCAGCACTGGGACGCCACGGCCACCAGCACCACCCTGCGCCTGTGACGTCCACACCCAGGGGGACGGGGCTTCCGGGGAGGAAGGAGCTGGCAGGTGCCTGCCACGGAGCCTGGCTGTCCAGGGTCAGCTCGGCCTCTGCCCACGCCTGCCCCCGGGGCTCCCAGTGACTGCTCTAAAATACCGGCCACAGAGCCCGGGAGCGTGGGGACGCCAGGCCAGGAGAGGCGGGCCGGGTCCTCCTGCAGGCTCTGGGCRAGGGGCTGGGGACAAGGGCAGTCTCGTGGCTCACGTGGCCTGGGRGTCCCGGGGACCCAGCCTGGCTGGCCGAAGCCTGGTAAAGGGCCTGCCCTTCAGACGTGTCTGCCCCGGGGTCGTCCACGCGGTCAGGAGACTCGACGGCGATTCTCCCTCGTCCTTCCTCCTCTACCAACCGCCGTCCACGTCAGCACCCAGCCAGGCCGGCCTCCTTGGGCAGCTCAGGTTCGGAGGCCAAGCTGCCTGCTTGTACATCCGCAGGCCGGGACAGCAGCAGGCGGGGCGCAGGACCCCAGGAAATTCTGGAAACGCCGGGAGGGCCCCCTCGGGTGTGAGCYGCAGGGTCTGGCCAGCCACAGTCCTGCTCTGGGATGAGTGCCGCGGCCAGTGACCCCCAGCTGCCCCCTTGGCGGCCCCTGACCTCACAGCCTCCACCCAGCCTGCCAGCCCGCAGAGCGGCCCTGGGGTGGGAAGGTCCACCTGGGGGACTACGGTGGAGGCGTGGGCTGGACCGAGGAGGAACTGGCTTGGTGGGGAGGAGAGCTCCACCCGCGAGGCCAGGTGGGGTGCCACTCTGAGCCTCGGTTTCTTCCTCTGCAGAATGCGGAGCTGGTGTGAGGACGGGCTGAGCTCATGCCCGTGGGGACCGAGGCGGGGCCGGCCCAGTCAGCAGGGCCCTGGTGCCCGTGGCSACCTCACCGCCAGGGACTGGCCCTCTGGGGAGCTCTGAGGTGGGAAGGATCGACGGCTCCCTTCGGGGCCAGCCCTTCAGCCAGCTCACTGACCACGCGCACGGTCACTCGGGTCCTGCACACCCTGGGGCCAGACCTGCCTCCCACCTGCCCATCAGGAGGCTGCTGCTCAGGGTACACGGGGCCCACCCCCCACCCCTGGCCCTGCAGCCCAGCCGGCCCCTCCTGGCCCCAGGCCTGCGTCCTGAGCTTCTGCCTTGCTCCCCCCCCCCCGAGGTGCGGGGACACGTCCATGGGTCAGTGGTCTCAGGAGGCACCCAGGGGCAGCTTTCTGGTCTTCAAGGCCACCCCCTCTGGTCACCTGCACCCAGAGCCACCCAGAGCCCCTGTGCCGGCCCTGGCCCTTCCTCAGGCCCACGCTGCCACCCGATGCTGACCCCCAAGCTCTTCCCACCTCAGGACCTTTGCCCGAGCTGCCTGCTCAGATGCCCCTCTCTCCACCTTCACCAGCCTGGCCCCCTGCATCTTCTGAGCCATCCGCGGAACCTTCCGGAACCCCGACCCCATAGAGGCCCCTCCCACTGCTTTTCACAGTATCTTGTTGTTTTTCCTGCGCAGGATCCACCAGGGCCTCCGACCACAGCCCACTGCTGCCCCGCCCACGTCCCACCCGAGGGTGAGGCTCCGGTGCTCCCTGGTGGCCCACCCCCTCAGAGAGAACCAGGGCTGGGGACAGGCAGGGAACAGCGAGGCCCGAGGGCCAGGGCGGGACGTCACAGTGGCTGCTGCTCTCTGCCATTACTCC